ATTAGGAAGGAAAGGATAAAGAAGGAGAAGGATGAAATTAGAATAGATAGATTGCCGAGGCGCCTCTTATACAAGAGAATGTGGCCGTGCTTGAACGGAATTTTGCTCGCAAAGGAGAATTTTCGCTCTCATCGAAAGAGAGAATTAAACTTCATATAGGTTACAACGAAAAATAAATCTCAACGTTGTGTTTATCGGGTTTCTTTTTTTTTTTAATATTATTATCATCTCATTTGGAGTCAGGCAAAGCGTCAGGCAGACACGTGTCGTTTTCATGTTTCATGGTTATCAATATTTTATTAGGTGATGACGGTCAAATACTCATTTTTTTAGTATTTGTTTTATTTTTATTTAAGATTTTAAAGATTCATGTTTTTGGTAGGAGGATAGAATAGATCTTATAGCATGGTACCTTTTTTTTTCATATAAAGTCAAGTCAACTCATATTTATACTCATCCTTGTTGTTAACGAGTCAAATTGAGTCAAACAATGCATTTGTAGTATTGACCTCAATTTTTTATATTGTTGCGAGTTTTAAAAGTCAAGTTTGTTAAAGTTCAGCTCGACTTAGCTCGATATTATACAAATATTCTAGATCAATACGAGCTTAAGATAATTTTCATTGATTTTAAATCAAATTCAAATTAAGTTAAGAATATTTAGATAATTACACATATACGAACAATCGAGCGTACAAAATTTATGCTCGAGTTTGAGTCGAGGTTTAATTCGAACACTCGCTAGCGGCTTGTTTACAATTATACAAGATTATTCTACCACTGAAATTAAAAAACAATAGAAAAAAAGTTATCTCTTTAATTTTGCTACCAACCACAATTACAGAAGCGTACGTATATTTATGACATTGAAAATTCGAACATTACGTATTTTGCAATTGTGGTTTTGTGTTTAATGAAACGTAAGTTCTAACCTTGGGAAAAACATGTATATACAATTATTACAAGTACAACAACCTTTTTTTCTTCTTTTCTATCTGGCTACATAAAACACACACATATATGTATAAATTTTGTCAATTTGTTGCTTTATTTTTTGGCAGTTAATGTAAAGTTGACAACTTTCTTGTTCACTATTTGACAGAGAGTGAAAGCAAATTGTGTACTTCAAAAACCAATTTCACATATATTATATAGTCCCAAGAAATTACAAAAAAATTAAAATATTACTATTATTTCTAATATTATTTGTTTGTTATTTTTATAATTTGTCTACTATTGTTCAGTATATGAATAACAAGACTATTGTATAACCATAAGTTTTCAACAAACATACATAATTTTATGTTTAAATGTCATATTTTTAAAATAATATAAATAAATATGATGCTTGATATATGTTCTTGTACAGAAATTATGACCGGACGAAATTGTTCTTGTGTGAGGCGGCTTAACCGTCAAGCGAGTTGTCCCATCATATTTTTTAACAACAATACATAATCTGATATGTTCTCTTTTAGAGTAAAACGTTCCATTTTAAAATTATACATATCTATTAAAAAAAATATGTTGGTTAATCGTTCGGACTTGACTAATAGTAGTTCTATTGTGAAAGAGGAGTAACTTTTGTTTGAATAATACTGTGTTCGGTAAGGTTGCTGCTAGAAAGACTTAACCTTCAGGCAGTTATATTTTTTAACAAGTGTGTACGCTTTCATACATAAATAATATACTTTTAAAAAAAGAAAAAAAATATATGATAATTATATTATAGTTATGCATTTTTGTTGAATAAACGTATAAACCAGCTAATGTTTAGACCAAATCACCCACAAAAAAATTAAAAAATGTTTATTGTGCTAACACTAACATGATGGAACTATCACTAGTTCAAAGGTTCTTTTATTCATTGATTGTTTGATAATGAAGTTTCAATTAATAATAATGACAATAGACAATTCCAATTAAAATGTGAAGTATAAGTTGTTTTGAGTAATACCCCACCACTACAAATCATGAAACTGAAGTAACTGATACCTTAAGGAAATTTATGGCCCCACACAAAGGGTTTTAATTAATCACTTCACTAATAATTTTCAAACATTGATAATTGCATCTTTGCTTAATAGATATCCACTCATTTTATGTTCCTTAATCACACTATAAAAAAGAGTCGACAATAGTAATTTTTTATTTTCTAAAAATTGGTTCATAGTATCCACGTATGTAATCGCGGTTAAAAAAAGTTAGGTTTAAGAAAATTGAAATATATTATAGAGATATGGGATATGAAAAATCTAATACTTAAAACTGGTGTAATATAATAATTACAAAATATTGCTTGATAAAATTGATGGTAAGAAACAGGTGAGTAAATTAATAGCGTTTTGTCATTTGTGTTGAAAAATATTTAATGTCAATAATTTTTTACTTTATTGTATTGGTGGGATTTGTAGAGAAAAAGTGTAATTAATTACATCTAAATTTGGGCACAAAACAAATTAAGCAACACATTAAACAACAAGCAACAAAAGTTCAATAGTTGACGTTCCTGAACTTTTGAGGTGTCCATTTCAAATGATGTAAAGTATGCTAATGTTGTCAATTGAGATGGAAGTTGTGTTGTCATTAACTTGCCTTTTGGTAGGTATATTTTATTTTATTTTTTTTAAAAAAAAAAATATTAAGGTCGTGGATTTTGGATTGAAATTGACAGAGCTACTTGAAACATTGTGTTATTCTTTAAATTAGTTGATGTTTTTTGCAAGTTACAACTTAAAGATCATATCTAAAATTGGCTGAAAAACATTTATAGAAAATTCTGTCTCTACATATGTTCAACATGATTTAAATTTAATTAGAAGCTGACTATAAGCATATCCTAAATATAGGAGCTAGTTTAAAGTTCAGGAACGCATTCATCTGTACATGAAGATATAAGCATATCTTCGCAAAAAAAGTTATCTGTACATGGGCTTTGCAAGATTAGTGGGTAACGAATCTATATAAGCCCACATATTTTTAACATGGGCTTTGCAATATTGTTTTATATTGTAGGGCCTAAATATTGGGTCATACTGTCTACTTTATGACAAACTACATAGACCATGTGCCCAATTTAAAGCTAATAAGAGAACCCAATTTCAATTGTATTGGATCAAGGGAAAATTTTATAAACAGGACATGTACAATTCCACTTATATTCCACAACTAGACACAATTAGAAAACTAGAAAAAACCGTATGGCTACAGTTTTTTCTCTCTCTTCCCACTCGTTTCGGTTTTTTTTCTTTTCTTCTTCTTCCTCCTTCCCTTCTTCTTCTTCTTCTTATTATTCTTCTTCAAAAGCCTAACAATAAAAATAACAACAAAAAAATATAAATCAATTAGTTATATACATAAATAAAAATTCATTAATTGTCCTACTTGCTAATTCACCAATAATACAATTCCATTTCAAATTTAGAGGATGTATTTATTTGAAACTTTATGTGACAGTTTAATGATTTTTTAAAATTTAAGATTTTTTTATTTAACTCAAATTATTATAAATTTCATATCTAGAGAGTATCTTGCCTTTGAAATATCAGTAAGTCTTCAAAATTTTTGATGAATTCAATTGATAAATAAATTGAATATTCGTGATTTTTTTTTTATAAAAATTTCAGATGAAAAATTTTAAGACATTTTAAAAGTACTTAATAGCATAAGTAAGTGATATATGACGTATAAGTTTGGAAGAAGTACATAATATATATGAAAATAATGACTACCATTTATATATAACATTATGTATATAGTTTTCACAAACTAACATCAAATCAAATACCTTATACTATTTCTATATAACCTTATATCATAAATTATAGTTTTCATCCATAACTTGATGCACTAACACATGTTCAATAGGGTGGATGGTTCAGTAAGTTGTCATTCCAGGACTCCATAGCAAAACCGAATAATATGTATAGTTTTCACAAACTAACAATAGTAACATCAGATCAAATTACTTAAAAAAAAAAACTTTAATGCAAAGCTACCAACTTATACACCAAACCATTGATGAAATAAAATACCAAGAGCATGTTTGTTTATGAAAATTTTTCAAAAAAATATGAACTCAACTACTTTTGTTAACTCAACTCCACTATCATCAATATTATTAATATAATTAAATAATATCAATCAATCATTCACACATACCACATCAACCTTAATTCACTATTTATCCACTCGCATTATTTTAACTAACCATCACTTCAATCATCTTTCTCTTACTTTTACATCAAATCAATTTTAATTATTTTATTTTAAAGATTATTTTAATATACCCTCTAATAACTAACCTTATCACTTTTTTCAAAATTAACAAAACAAACTAAAAAATTTAAACAAAACCAAAAATTTTCATAAACAAACATGCTCCAACTTTCAAACTTGAAAATTTTAAAAAACAAGTATTTTAGTAACATAGGGGGTGATTGGATATGAATTCAACTAGTAAAAAACTAGTTATTTTGTAACTATAGTTAAGTTTGGAAAAAGGTGGTATGGTTAGTTGTTAGTGGATATATTAAAATAATATTTAAAATAAAATAATTAAAGTTGATTTGATGTAAAAGTAGGAGAAAATGATTGGAAGTGATAGTTAGTTAAAATTATGTGAGTAGATGAATAGTGAATTAAAGTTGATGTGATTGGTTGATATTATTTAATTATATTGATAATATTGAAGATAGTGGAGTTGAATTAAAGTTGAGTTAAATTTGAGTTTTGATTGGTTTTTTTACTGTACAATTTGTATCCAATCACCCCCATAATAACTTAGTCCAACTCACATCCCAGTATAGTCAAAACCCCCCTCTTTTTCTCTGCAATTTCTGTTATTCCAATTCTCTCTCTCCTCCACTCATTTTCTCTCACTAAAACGCCGCCATTTTTGTACCTTGCCGCCTGCCAAATGAATCATCTCTCTTCCCACCAAACCCCCTCAAAACCTCCCCAAACCCCACCCCTCCACGGCCGAATTTCATGAATCGCAGATGCATAATTCGATTCGTCTCCTCCTAACCCTAATCTCGATTTCCCAATTCTCAACCCTCCCCTCGCCATCCCTCGCCGTCCGGCGCTCCCTCCTCCAAAACGTCTCCGTCTGCCCCCTGTCCTTCGACTCCCTCCGCCGTCTGCCCCGACCCGATCTCGACAACGCCGGCTCCCGCTGCCACTACATCATCCAGGGCCTCCGCCTCGTCCTCTCCGAGCACCTCCGCCGCACCGGCTCTTTCCTCCCCCCGCCGGACTCCGCGGAGCCGTGCTGGGACGCGTACGAGTCCGTCGTCAACAGCTACCTCCCTAATTTCGACATCCGCCGCCGCTGCGGGTTCCGAACAGACTGGATCTCCCGCGGATGCATGAACCTCACCACCCGATCCGACTTCGAGGCCGCCGTTCCGCCGCCGGCGCTGAGCGGCGTCGCCGCCGCCTGCAACCAGTCCCTCCTCGACGGCTCCCCCTGCGCCTCCTGCACCACCGCGCTCTCAAACCTCCACGCCTCATACCTCCCCGGCCCATCCTCCGGCAACCTCTCCGACTGCACTTCTTACCCTTTCATCTACGCCGCCGCCTTCAGCAACCGTTTCGGGCCGTCCGATCCAGGTACGGCCGCCTGCTTGTTAAATCTCGATTTCGAACCTACAAATCCCGATCATCACCAGAGAAAACAAATTATCATCATCATCATCCTTGTGGTTTTCTCTGCCGTGGCTTTAATTCTCATATTTTCCAGTCTCTTCCTTTTCCGGCGCCGGAAAAGGAACGCCGGAAAGCCAAACCCCACAAATATCGATCCTAACTCAACAACCTCCCGACTCTACTCGCTCAACGCAAGCACGAACCTAATCCAATTCACGTTCGAAGAAATCAAAACGACCACTCGGAATTTCTCAAGGCACAACATAATCGGTACAGGAGGATACGGTAACGTATTCAAAGGCACTCTCCCGAATAATGGCTCGGAAGTGGCTCTAAAAAGGTTCAAGAACTGCTCGGCTTCAGGGGACTCTATCTTCACACACGAACTCGAAATCATAGCAAGTGTTCGTCACGTAAATCTAATCGAGTTAAGAGGCTACTGCACGGCAACAACTCCTCTCGAAGGCCACCAGAGGATAATCGTGTGCGACCTCATGAAAAACGGTAGCTTGCACGACCATTTATTCGGTTCGGTGAAGAAAAGGCTCGATTGGCCCGTACGCCAAAAGATAGCGATTGGTATGGCTCGAGGATTAGCTTACTTGCATTACGCTGTTCAGCCCGCTATCATTCACCGAGACATAAAGGCCAGCAATATACTCCTGGACGAGAATTTCGAGCCCAAATTAGCCGATTTTGGGCTGGCTAAGTTCAGGCCCGATGGCATGACCCACCTCAGCACCCGAGTTGCCGGGACTATGGGATATGTTGCTCCGGAATACGCTTTATACGGTCAGCTGACCGAAAAAAGCGATGTTTATAGCTTTGGGGTTGTGCTACTCGAGCTTTTGAGTGGGAAAAAGGCGATTTTGTCGGGTAAAAACGGGCAGCTGTCTCTGGTGGGTGATTGGGCTTGGGCTTTGGTTCGGAAAGGACGGGCTTTTGATGTGGTTGAGAAGGGAATGTTGGATTTGGGCCTGAGGGAAGTGGTGGAAAGGTTTGTTGTTGTGGGCGTTTTGTGTTCGCATCCTCAGGTGTATGCTCGGCCCACTATGGATCGGGTTGTGAAGATGCTTGAAATGGATGTGATTTTTCCGGGAATACCCGAGAGGCCCATTTCGTTAATTGCGAATTTGGGTGATATAGAGAGGTCGGTTATTTGTGGCGGGTATCAGGCGTATATTTTCGAGGGAGAAGAAGATGAAGGAGATGGGTAGGGAAAAAAAGATGTTTTTTTTCACTTGTAACAGTTTTGTAAGTGATTGTAGAGGGGATTTGAGGACGAATTCTTGTATGGGGTAGTCTAATGGTGAGACGGGTCGACCCGTTATACTATGTAAATAAAAATGTGTGCTTATAGAATCGAATATCGTACGCATGAAGTATACAGAAAAAAGTAGGTCCGGCCTAACCAGAAGAGAAGAGCTGTTGAATAATGAGAAATTGTGGCGAGTATTTTGTGTGTTGTCTGAAACTGAAAGGAGATGAAATAAAAAGTTAATACAGTTTTGTGAAGTGAAAAAGGGGATAGAATATGATTATTGAATTTTAGTTAATACCACTGATAGAATGGATTCTTTTTAGTTATAATTGTTGAATTTTACATTGGTTCTTTTAAACAATTGATTTATGTGTGAGTATCATTTTTTTTTACTCTGAACTCGCCTTTAGCCTAATTGCAAGGGGTGGCAAATTATGGTATCCGTGGTTCACTATTGCGTTTTTTTAAAGTCGGTTTTATTTTATCATAAACACAATAATAAGCGAAAATTTAATTAAAAAATTTACTTCGTATTTCAGGTTGTGAAATGTCAAGTGTTGTATTTGTTCCCGTACAATTGCTAAGCTATTGTCAGATTATTCATTTGTTCATCAACAGTGCATCTTTCAAATATGTGCACGCAGCACGTAGTTTCAATTTTAAACTGTACTTTGTTAGAATAAAAAGGATTAAGTGATTTTTTATAATTATTGCAGGGGTGACTTTGTAACTACTACTAGGGTTTATTCGACGCTACCCATATGGGTACAGCCCACTTTTACTGTTAGCCAATCAGAATAAGCCATGTGGAATGCACCGAGTTTTGCCATTTCTCTCTTCTTTTCAGATTTTTGTTGGCTGAATCTATTTTATATTTTTGTTTTTAGTGTTGCTTTATCTACCATGGTTACCTTTGAGTTAAATATAATAATTAATTAAAACAGGCTGTACACATCAAGATCTAATTGGTTGACCATTTTTAACTCAAAGACCATTTTCTCCAAAAAATTGCAGTAGTTCTCAAAACTATATATTAATCGGTTGAACAAATATATTAAGAAAAATGGTGAACTTAATATATTTGTTCAACCGATTAAAAATGGTCTTGAGAAGTACTGCAATTTTTTGGAGAAAATGGTCTTTGAGTTAAAAATGGTCAACCGATTAGATCTTGATGTGTACAGCCTGTTTTACTTAATTATTATATTTAACTCAAAAGTAACCATGGTAGATAAAGCAACACTAAAAACAAAAATATAAAATAGATTCACCCAACAAAAATCTGAAAAGAAGAGAGAAATGGCAAAACTCAGTGCATTCCACATGGCTTATTCTGATTGGCTAACAGTAAAAGTGGGCTGTACACATATGGGTAGCGTCGAATAAACCGTGAAGAGGATACGTTTCAACTAAGGATGGCAGCGGTTCGGTTTCGGTTCGGATATCCGCGGTTTTTGGTTCTGCGGTTTTCGGTTTTGGTTCCAAATTTCACCCACGGTTTTGCGGTTTCGGGTACCCGAAAGTCTTCGGTTTTGGTGCGGATCCTATATTTCGCCCGTGGTGCTCCGTTGGGTGCCCAAAATAGACGGCCCATCAAAAAGCCCACCAAAAACCCTAGCTATATAAGTGGAAATTTCCTCTGCCTCTTATCCTCTCCCGTGCCTGCGTGACCAACAGCCGCGCCGCCACCAACATTCCGACTAAAAAAAAATGCCGACCGAACTCTTCTCCTCTCCCGACTCCCGTGCGTGAGTATGTGTGTATGTGTGTGTGCCTGAAGGCCTTGAACTTCTATTTCTATGTTTCTGGAGTCTGGACATGGGCTGGGCACATGGCTTGGCTTAGCTATGTACTCTACTACCTTTATGGCTTGTACTGTACGTTGGTACTTGCTAATTTGTGACTGGTTGCCTGGTACTCTTCCTAAGTTATCATGTTTTATGTTGTTGTCTTTGGTGTTTTATTATAATATTTTTGGTTTTTTGGGTATCCGTTTGGTTTTTGGGTATCCGCGTGTTTTGGTTTTGGTGAAGGATTTTCACCCGAAACAGTTTTGGTTTTGGTTTTGGTTTTTAAGTTTGGGTTTTGGTTTTGGGTGCCCTGAGGTTCCATCCGATCCGAACCCGAACCGCTGCCATCCTTAGTTTCAACCAACATAAGCATCAACAGAAGTTTCTATTACCAAATTCACGAGAAAAGTATATTATTCACAATCCACAAAACTAGGAACTATTACATGTAGGACCAATCCAAGAATAGTCATGTACCTAGTGCAGCTCCATATTATTACTATCGTCTGTCAAAATAGACTTAGCATATTTGGAATTTGACTCATATTTGGAATTTGACATTGGGTTCTTTTCTAAAGTTAAAAAAAAATAAATTAAATACATAAAGACTTTGCAGCCCATTTTATTTCTTTTCGTATCAAACAAGACATACAATATACTATTGAGTCATGCCCATTTCAATTCCAACTGGTGATGAGAGGAGTTTGATCGCAGGTCACTAAACTTATATATTAAGTCCATATTTTTTTATTTAATTATGAGACAACTCATAAAGCGATTCTCATACTTCTATGTCTTTTTTCTGGAGTTACAAATATAACGAAATTGAAAATAGTAGTTTGGCATAAGAAAAAAATGTACAAACAAAAACATAGTATATACCAAAATATTCAATAATATACAATGTCACAATGATATTTTCATTTAAATGACTTATTATAAATACTTCACGTGCATTGCTCGGGCAACAATACTAATATATACCGATACAAAGCACGCGTAGTCTTCAGGACCTCCTCGATTTTCCGCTCGAAAATTTTTTCTGGCCGCAACTAGCCATGAAAACTCTCAAGAAATACACTTCGTTTCTTTACACCAACAATCACATTCAACTCTACTTTGTCATTTGAATAAGAAACATTACATCAAATATCATTGTACAACTCTAACTCTCTCTCTTCTCTCTCTCTCTCATCAATCATCATCTAATCACTTCTTCACTTTCTATCCTTTCAATAATATATATTGGAAGCTCAATTAGACTCTCCAAAGGTATATTATACGCACAATGCCTTTAGCTATCAACTGATAGGGGATCAAAAGATTCAGTAAACCAAATCATAATACCATCCCATTTAACAGTGCTTCCCAACTAAGAAACTTAAAATACCAAAGTTGCGAAAAGAATGACTTACTGTGTGTTAGCATTTGTCGTTCTAGTCGAAGTTAGGTGATTTTATCATCAACGGCTGCCGACCAGCAAAAAAAACTAGTCGGGATTTGTATACTCGAGCAACATGTGTGGTGATCTGTAGATCTTAACCAACGTCCAATAAAGAACCTCCTCCACTCCAAGTTCACCTTCTGCTCGTGCAGCGTATATATCCTCACAGATGGCTATCAGCCTGGAAGAAAGAGCGAAACATTTAATGATCATTCGAGTTAAATAAGCATAATAACCGGGTCACAAAGTGATGGGTAACTTGAAGGAATTATAAAATCAGAAAACCCAGACTTGAGCTTTGATTATGTTTACATTTCTCCCAGATCGTTAGTAAACAACTTCAAAATTTTTCAAATATGCGAATAGCCCCGACTTTTGGGGGATTAGAAGATATTTTAAAGAGAATTTGGCAGATGCAAATGTGAAATGTAAGAGAGGGTTATTTTGGTATATCCGAAGAGTTCAGGATGTCATTGTAAAAATATTATTAGACCGTGTCAGCAATTTCCATTAGCTTATGGCAGCTGCATAATATAATGTGCTTCTATTTTGGGTCATTTGACCAAACCTCAGGATGGCTTTGTAATTATCGCTAATTTCAATATCTATAATTCGCTCCAGAAATTAGTCTTGACAAAGAAGTTTAAACCAAAAGTTGAACATTAAACGGCATGAACTCACTAGATAAAACAGCATTAAATGGTTTGCTGCTAGTAACTTTATTACCTGTCGCATGAAGGAAGATTCTCGAATGGTATTCTCATCCGTAAGTCGGAGCACTGCAGTCTAATAAACCGCCCAACTGCTAATACAAACGTGATGTAGAGACCCCAAATGCTGAATTTGCTGAGAGTCTCACCAAGAAATCCCTCTGTGACGAATTTATGAATTAATAAATGAAAAAAAAAAAGAACAAATGCAACTGAACATTTTCACTTTGATGTTCACATGTGATTAATAGTAAACCCTTACGTGGGGTTTCCTCAGATACAATGATGGCCATAGGTCCCGACAGGCCACCACAACCATATGCATCCAAAGAATTGATATCATGAAAGGACCACCATTCAGAATTCTCATGATGCAAGACGAGTTCTGCACTGACATCATTTACCTGTTGACATCATTAATTAAGCAAATGGGAAAATACGAGACCAGTCTATCTAAATAACCTTTTATCAGTTCTTGTTTTGACAAGGTTAATTAACAAAAGCTGTGTGAAATTTAATTGTTTTTTATTCAAACCGTGTTAACTCGCATATCCCATTTGAGAGTTCAACTTGTAAGAGAGAAATAATACACAATGAGATATTTATAATTTTTATAATCTTGATAAATTGAGTTATATTATATCTTGTTTTTATAATAAGGTTTCTAAAGCATACCTCCTGCTCAAAAGGTCTCACTTCACCCGACCCAGTAACCCGGAAAAATCTTGGGTAAATCTTATAAATTGTAAAGCTACTCAAGGAACCATTCAGAACCCCCTCAACTTCCGAAGGCATTGGGAGATCTATTGGATCGACACTCCTTTCATATTTAACAGTCTCCTTTCCCTTTGGTCGATCCCTTGTAAGAACCCAAGAAAATTTCATGTCCATGCTATCCCCATTAAGGGACTTGATAAACTCCCTCTGGACAACATCTGGGACAAGCCACAAATTACTTGCATCGGCTTGGCAACAAACCAGCTGAATATCATTCACGTTATACGAGTCTAAATAATGCTCGGGATCGAGATCGACATTCATGCTGAGTTGGTTCCATGCAATTCTTTCGCAAAGGGTCGTCTGGTACAAGGTTAACCTTCCGCCATCTGTCTTGATGTCGAACTGGAAACTGGCGTCATTGATCGGGTTTGCTATGTTTGTCGGGTTACCACTACTGTACATCTGTAAGAAAACATTAAAAACTTTTATTCGTGCCAGTAAATAAATAGACATTGTTAAAAATGTATGATTTTGTGACATTATGATCTCTGTCATAGGAGTAGAATTTATAGTAGAGAAAATTTCATCACGGATTGCTTACCAGCATTGGGGCCCAAATTACACAGATCAATATGAAGAACAAACATATTCCATTGCAAAACTTAGTCATCTTTGTTTGCTTCTCTCCTTGTTTATGTGTAGCCCTGTTTAGAACGTTGTCGCATTTAACAAGGTACAAACTTGCATTTATGTCCTCCAACTGAAAAAGGATGTAGTAAAATAGCTCAGTTTGGAGTTGAACAGTCAGGCTAAAATTCTCCTTTATGTTTGAGATCTTATGTCCTATTTGGAGTTGAAAAATTTCAAATATAAACATGAAAAACTCACCTTCAGCCAGTCATACATAGTCAATGAAGTAGTTGTACACGACCAATCAAGAACGCATCGCAATTCATACAGAAAAGGCAGAGCACGATATAGCCTGTACCCTAGATAATTAACACGAGAAACTTCACTGGTGAGAAACTGGCGATACAAAGTGCTCTTATGAGGAACACCATGTTGAATTTGCACAGCTTGTAATGCAAGAGAAACTGTTTTAGTGAGATATATTGCTCGAAGGGCAAATCCGACAGCATTCTGCTGGGAAGTATCCATATTCCAAGCATATTGGGTGACAACGTAAGTGAACAGAATAAGGTTGAAGAGGTAGAATATGACTTTCCCCGTTGCAAATGAACACAAGTATATGAAGCGGTCAACAATCATCAAGAAGAAGATTACCTGCACTAGAAGAAAAACTAAGTGGATTAAAGAAAAATAAATTCCTCACTGGAAATCTAAAAAGAAAATCTTACTCATTTTGAAACAGTATAGTTGAATTTCCAATTTTCAGATAACTGTATAAAGAGAAAAGAGACACGTTGCTTACCATTAGAATAAACACAAACTCCTTAGGGAACTGATCCTCAAGCTGGTAATACTCTAGAAATTCACTCTTATTTTTTATTACGGAATGATAGAAAATGGCAACTAGATAGAATACGGCCAAATCAGCTCCAAAGATGTAAGCATAAAGATCGACTTCTCTTTTGCCACCTCCAATTACAGAGACTATAGGATAAGGAAATCCAACATTCTCAGATAACCCCATGCTTCTGGCTTTAAGGATCTCCTTTGCTACATCGGCTGCTGGAGTAAGAGAGTTGAACTGTTCAGCTCGTTTACATTCTGTTAATGGAGAGGCATAGATCACCTCAAAAACAGCCAAGGCCACATTTTCATTCTCAGTGCTTTTCTCAATGCTTTGGATTTGAACCTTGCTGGCACAAGGACAATTACTAGGCAATTTATTCCTACAGTGTTCGTCATGCACAAGCAACAGTAGCTGATTAATTCCAGATTCAATCCTCTCTGGTTGAATTCCATCCTTCGGCCATGCTTTGACATCCATGGACAACTGAACAAAGTAAGGAGGAGATTCTGCTTCTTGTGTAAGTGATTTCCAGTATTTAGAGCAGCTACCAAAGACCATCCCAACCATCCGTTCCATTAAATGGAAAACCATTTTTATTTTCTCACTCCATGTGGAATTTGAATGAACCCCATAGTGATTCAATGCCCCTCCTCTGGAATTATTAAATCCTACTGAAAACCACTCACCGTCTTTTGCAGTCACAGAGCACTGTATCAGAGTAAATAGATACACTAGAAATAGAGGTAGCAAACTGACAACAAATGACGATGTTATTTTTCTAGTAGGAAACCCCAACTCACGTAAAAGGTCTGACTGGATGCTAAAACCACAATGCTGGATCATTATTTGGTACAGATACTGAATCAGGACATACATTTCTGTGTAGATTAGCATAATGATCCAGAAGATATAATTCGGTCCCGTATTCACACAGAGAGCATATAGGAATAGAGCCGCCAGGTAAACCATGGAAAGCAAACTGAAATTCCAAAGGAAAACAAGAACAAAACAACAATAACACACAACATCATTGGTCCACCTCATCTGGGACCAGATATGAGAGACTATGCGCGCAATCTGGAGACTCGCAGGATCGGAAGCTCGACTCTTATCAGACTGCTGTGAAGACGTACGGTTCAGATCTTTGTGCTTAACATCTGGTGTTCCCCTCTCATTAGACGACACCTCGGAGGACGAGAGCTCACTCGAATCAGATTCTTCAGATGGAATATTCAAAAAGCTCACAAGATTGCTAACCGCTTGATTCCCGATTGACTGTACTTGGGAAACACCATCGCCTAGAAACTGCACAGCAGAAACTAATGGGTTTTCCATTGACTGGCTTCTTTTCTTTAATTTGTCCAAATCAATAGTGTCACCTGAATGATCCTCAAGTTCACTTATCTCGCCAAGAGAAGAATTTCTCAACTGTGTTGTGAGTTGCATTGCAAGTGGACTTTCTAGTCTCGCACTAGTTGAAGATTCAAATACCTCCAGTCTCTCGAGGTTAGCAAAGTCTTGCACTGTAAGTGAGGCGTTTTTCCTCCTTCTCAACCCTTCATTAGCTGGTGAGTCAAATGTATAACCAACATTAGTAGTAGTGGACTTCATGCCATGGAGCAAAATTTGCATGTTGAGCATCTCGGATTTCATCTTCTCAACTTGTAAATTACGTTGACGTTTATTCTCCTCAGATTTACGAATGTGCTGCAGCTGTTCAGTCTTCCAAGCAGCTTTCTTCTCTTGTTCTCGCACAATGGCACCAATTTGTTCAGCCTCAAGGTATCGAAATACGTAATCAAACTCCGAGGAAGAGAACATGTATGACTGACATGAAACCAGAATAAAGATGATGATCTCCACCAAAACTGATCTTGAGGTAATCCGAAAGCCATAATCGTACTTATGAAATCCTATCACCTCGTAAACATAATCAACCGTGTCACACTTCCCCACATTAAAATCACCTATGAATGGAGACTGATAAGCCAGAGACAGGACGATGACAACAAAATTGTAAATGCGTAAATACTTGAAAATCTTATTTTTCTTCTTCAGAATGGTAAGCCTCATGCGGAAGAAGATTAAAGCAAAACACAGGTACCCAAGGTGCAGAATGTCATACTCCAGGGTTCCTGTTATTAAAATCAATGCTAGTACTAAATCTAATAGATGACAATAGCAGTAGAGCCTCAGATAGTCGAGCAAAGTCCACATGCTTTTGGTTTCAAATGAGAGATCTCGCCAAACATAAGCATTTTTACGCTGAGATAACATCTGTTCATATGTAAACGACCATGAAAAACTGGATGTGTGATCCGAGCGGAGTTTGAAACACGTGAGCATGAAAACAGCATAATTACCCATAAGCATGCGAGGATCATCAATTATAATACCTGGCAAATAAGCAACATACTAATTAACCAAGAGAAGATTTTTTTTTTCTCATTTTAGTTCTTTT